GAGGTTTGTGCAGGCTACCACAGAGACCCGTTTGTGTACGAGTGTTAAGGAGGCTAAGATTGTTGAAAGAAACAACCCCGGATTTGATTGGTCGTAAGAGATATCGCGCCTTCCGATTTGTGAGACGTTACATATCTACCAAATAAGTTAGACCCAGAGGTAGATGATTTTGTCTGAACTGGGTAGGCCCAACTCCACTCATACGCACTTTCCTTTCACACTTGATACGGATTCAGTCCATCCCTGACACTGAATTGGCACATGCACCAGCATTTCGTGGAGCAATGAGCGAGCCAAATATTGTCCAGACACCACCGGAGCCGTTCATGGTGCTGACGCGATGGTCCATCCTGCGGCCATCCAGCTATATGACGGGCTGGATCCTATATCATTATTGATGTCGTTGAGGACTGAGAAAGGAAGGGCAAATCCAGGGATGGCCATGGCACAGAGGAAGACAAGGGAGCTTAATGCTACCCATTGACGCTTCGAGAGCCGAGTCGGTCCCTGGGATGGATCGAGAACGGTATGCTCTTCGGACGCAATGCTGATATCCGTGGCAGCCGGAGCAAGCTCATAGTGGCTGGTATCAGCTTGTGCCTCGAGGTCATCCATATTGAGCAAAAGTCCTCTAACAAGAAGAAGTTCAAGAACAAGATGTCGAACGAAAAGGTTAGAGAGCGCAGCGCCACTATTTCATACTGTTGGCCACCTACCAGGAGGAGCTCTAGCGCAAGTATATACACATCGACAATATCCCCCGGTCTCGTCTACGTGGTGAAGAGGACTTCATCTTGGTCATCTTGATGCAGATACTAAACCATCATCGCGGGTGAAAGAGGGAAACGAGATACTGGATGACGACTCTATATCACTCATCATTATTTCTTAGTGCTGGGTTGGCTTGCATAAATACGAGGAGAGTAGCGAGCGGTCTTGTCTTGTAGGTACACAGATATGTAAAGCCCCAATTTTCCCCTTCGACATTGATTCAGAAAATCCAAGGATGTTGTTGGCAGTTCGTATCGAGCCTGAGGGAAGTCCACCAAAAAAAAGGGCCCGGTAACGGTAACCTCAAAAGCCCTCCCATGTACAGAACTGTGATGAAGGGCATCAAGACTGCAGCCCCTGAACCCGCGTCAACCAATATTCCCTCAATTGCCCACCTTGATAAAGGCTTTCGACTCCAGCCACTTGCCGAACCACACGACCCAGGCATCGATCCGTGAGAAATAGTCGGCGGCCCAAAGGACAACAGTGGTGGTGACCAGCATCCCCGGGAGTCCGGACCAGTAACCATCGCCGAGGTGCGCAGCGCGCCAAGGTTCAACGATGGGCTCGTAGAAGCACCAGTTGACGATATCATGCATGACGTAGATGCCGAACGAGATGTCCCCGAGATACTGAGAAAAGCTCAGCTCGAAAGGAATCTGGAGCATGCGGCAATTATCCAGGGCGAAAACCAGGAGGCCAGCTCCGATGCTGAGCCAGAAGTATTCACTGAGGTCGAGGGGGTACCACCACGGTATAACCTTGCTGAGGTAGTCGAAGGGGAAGGGTCCCTGATAGCTCCATCCGTCTGGCGGCTGTCCGAAGAGAAAGAGTGCCACGACCACTAGAAGACTGCACCCGACCTTGGTGAGGATTTTTCTGCTAGTTTTGCGACCTGGTGCTGCTTCTTCGTTCTGCCGCTGCGGAAGAGGCACAGGGTGTAGGCGTTCTGGATGGCGATCGAATGAAAGATCCGCTATCATCAAGCCGATCAAGAACAGGGCCGCATAGATAGTCCACCAGTAGTAACAGAGAAGTATAACAAGAGCACAACAGATCCTGCGACCTCTCGTAGAGAAGAAGGCAGCGACGCCACAAAATGAGAACAGCACTATGCTGCCTCTGAACTCGACAGGAATAGTCCACATCGGGTCGAGGTACTTTGTGCGGAAGACGCTTGGATACCACCAGCCTTTGATATCGGCAAATGGATTAGTGGTCGAGCCGAAATCCCAGAACCAGTCCCAGATCTGACCAAGGAAAGTCCCCTGACGAAGATCTCCTCGACACCAGCCGAAATACGAGGCCAGGGCGACGATCAAAGAGCCCGTGCCGGTCGGAATGAACAGTCGAAACCAGCGTCTGAACGTCGATGAAGCCAAAGCCCGAAGGAGGTCTGGCTGCTGATTGCGCATCATCTTGAGAAGTCGGTAGCTGAGAACGTATCCGGAGATGACGAAAAAGACTTCGACCATGGCACGGCCATTGAGAAGCCCGCGAACGACCGGGAGCTCGAGAAGCCACGTTTTGTTGTAGTACATATGAAATCGGAAGACAAGGAGTGCCGCCCAGCCTCTCAGAGCATCAAGGTAAGCTGTCGGATGCAGTTTCTTCGGTCTTTTCAATCCGCCTGGCCGCAGGAACCGTGGGAGTGCGACTAGGAAGCCTGCGAGGATCAGAGACGCCATATTCTTTGGCTTCGTCAAGTCGTCTCTTGACCAGATCTTCCAATTTTGCGGAAGCTCCCATCTCGATGAGATCCTCCACCCGGGCAATCGATACCATTTTGGCAAGGGGTATTCATGAATCTTTTCCATGTCGATGTCTGAGAGCTCAAGATCGTCCATGTGATCACTCGTGCGGCTATCGGATGGAAGAGGCATATACTGCTCCATCTTGGTTAGATGAGCAAAGGAAATTCCGGTGGTAGTGTCTGCACGCGAAACCAAGGGAGAACTCGAGGAAACCTCACGAGAAACACGCTCAACAGTAGAAATATTCTCACATTACAGTAGGAGTAGGATGAAGTTTTGGTAGCAAGAGATGGAAAAATTGAAAGTCCTACTGTTTGCGCTTAGACCACATTCCTAGTGACAGCACTGAGGTAGGGACCAGTTGGACAACGCGATTAGCCTGTGCGGAGAATTTCGGACAGAATCCATGACATTTTTGTAACTTCATCCCTTGCTGACTTCCAATGAGTTGATTTGTGCGGTGCGTAGATGCGTCTTGCGAACTTCTGGTGACGAGAACAAAGTGAGCCTAGCATCGGACCACATTCCACTGCCCTAGTTGAGCGCGTCCGTAATTCTTTCCTCCTACGTTCAGGAAAAGATGGCTTTCAATCAGCTCGAGAAGGAGGAGAGAGATATAGATGGAAGTAGTGAAATGGCAAAGTGGCGAGATATGACCTGATGCGACAAGGGTTAGTGGGCAAGGGCTCGTCTTCTCCAGATCGAGATGCGCCTTTCATTGACTTCCCTACCGTTTCGCAGGCTTTTGATTTCTCGTCTGCTGTGAGGAGCGTCACTCTGACAGCTGTCAACCTCGATGGTGGCCAATAGTGGGTAATGGAGGGAGGAACACTGTGACCACTGTGACCACTGGATTTTCATTTGTGCCCATCTCAGCGAGCTCTTTTCCCTACGTCGCACCTGTAGAGAATGCACCACAGTCACAATGTCACTTTAACCACGATGGATGCCTTTCTCGCAGAGCACGCAGTCAGTGCATGATCATCGTATGCCAAGTATGGAGCTAGATGGGCAAGGGGTCGACTCCAGAGCAGTCTGTTTCATATCCGAGGACGTGGTTCTGGTTGTGGGTCTTTAGCCATGCGTGTCTCGTGGCTCATCTCGACAAGCACACGGTATGTGCTTGCTGTTCCATTTTGAAGATTGTGCGCAGCATTTCTTTTGAGGCTTGTTCGGACGATTGCCGTCGCGGACTCTGGACATGGGGATAAGCCATATTTTTAAGGTTGGAAACAGGAGGCTCTCTGAGCGTCATGGACCCAGTCAAGGAGGGGCTTGTTCAGTTCGTATCTCGGGTTCCGACACGAAATACGCAGAGGTCGCAACCAACTTCGGACTTTTCGGGTGCGACAGAACCCATGGTTGCAGAGATGCGGCCCAGAAAGGGTAGTAAGACAACCGGAAGCAGTCCGAAGAGAAGCCATCTTATCTCAGCGCAGGGATCCAAGTTGGTTGAATACAAAGTGAAGGAATTGAATTCATCCATGGCCTGCACTGCGTGTGCGATGCGAGGAATTGAGCCGAATTAAAACATCCTCGGCACGGAGGAAATGTTCTTCCGGCTTCGACTCTCCGACTCCCAACTTCCCTCTCGCGCTCTCAATCTCGACTTTGATATCGCAAGGATATGCTCCTTAGGATGATCCTTGACCACCGGCACAATACAAGTCCTGCATATCCATCTTAACGCTACCAAGGCTTAAGCAAGACTACGGAAAACTCCTTCCGCCTTGTTGCCCAGGTTCGGTATTGCTTGGGCTGGTGGGTATAGCCTTGTCCTAACCGCTTTCGGGCTCAGCTTGCGAGATCACACCACAGCATCCAATACCCTTTTGCAATGAGCAATGGGGGAAAGAGCCTTCTTTGACTTGTTCCGCCGTCATTGGGTTATGGTAGTCACCCTGGGTCGACGGTCCAACCACATGGCATGCGTCTCGACAGACCCGAGTTGGGCAACGAGAGGCCTTTTCTTAGATCTCGAGACGAAAACCATGTGTATCCACCAGAAGCCGCCCTATCGTATGCCTCGTGTTTTGCCTAGACCTTGCGCCCAGGGACGGATTGTCATGTCCCAATCCTCCGTATTCGCGTCTCTGGCAATCCGAGAGAGAGCCTTGCTTTGCAGCTCTCGTGCCGTCGGCTCCTGGTTTCGTTGGTGCCTGGGGATCCATCATGTATGACTCTGAGTACATATAGGTGTATCTCTGTATGGGTCTTTTCTTCTTTGACTCCTTCAAAAGCCGTGCGAGTATCACCATTGGTATCCCCCGTTGTTACTCTATCATCTTTGCCCATTGTCTAATCCTCGACCCCCCCAGGCTTGTCCTGAGCAATGGCTAACAACAACGACAACTCGACGTTTTTTCTGCCCCTAGCCAACTGCACCGATGTCACACCCCGATGTCCTGTTGAGAACTCGATCTATGGCTATTTTCCTTCGATCGGGCAAATGCCCTCTTCGTGGCCCTTTTCGCCATGTGTGGCGCCCTACAACTTCTCTGCGGCATCCGCTACAAGACATGGACGTACCTGATTGCCATGTTGCTGGCCTGCGTCGACCAGGCGCTCGGATACGTTGGCCGTGTGATACTGCACAACAATCCGTTCGACAGAGTGGGCTTCCAGATCCAGATTTGCTGTCTGATCTTGGGACCTGCCTTCAACTCTGCCGCCATCTACCTGGTTCTCAAGCACATCACCCTTGCTTTCGGGCCACAGTACTCCAAGATCAGACCGAACTGGTACACATGGATTTTCATCACCGGAGACCTCATATCCCTGATCATCCAGGCAATTGGCGGCGGCATGGCTGCCACGGCCGACGACAACCAATCCCAGCAAGACACGGGCGACAACTTGATGATGGCCGGTATTGCCTTCCAGGTGGTCACCTTGATCTTCTTCGGCAGTGCTGCGTCGTGGTACGTCTTCAGCCGCTGGCGAGGGCGCGACGAACCCCTATCCCGCGAGGCGAGCGGCTTTCTGAGTGACAGGAAATTCCGGCTCTTTGTGTACGGCTTCATCGTCGCCTACGTGGCGATTCTGATTCGGTGTATCTACCGTATCGTCGAAATGGCTGGTGGGTGGGCGAACCCAGTGATGCAGTTTGAGCCTGCCTTTATCGCGCTTGATGGATGGTATGTATTGGCCGATTTTCCATTTCCTCCTATCGTCATCTCTAATCACTTCCATGTCCTCCCCAATCCTGCCATACCGAGTAACCAATCTGAGAATCCGCAAGACTGATGTTCGAGCTCTTTTCTAGCATGGTCATCATCGCCACACTGGTCCAAACCATCCTGCACCCAGGGTTTTGCTTCCCCCGCCTATCAAGCGCATACGTCCCGCCTCAGTCGACGTCGAGCGTGTCCGCAGCTCCCAAGGAGTACAATCCGTCAAGCATGCTCTCGACACCTCCCGGCGAGTCGGTCGAGATTGAAAGGGAGAAGCAGGGTACCAGGGAGGAGGCTTGAAAAGTTTGGCCCCGGACGGCCAAGTTTACAAATCACCTAGCAAGGATTCTGATACGGCAACGGTCTCTTACGGCATTACCCGCATTATTCCTTTTGTTTTTGGATACCACGACAAACAACACCCTGTCGTCATCTTTTCTGTCGTCAACAGCCTCAGGAACTCTTCGACGTCCAGAAACAGAGGGTGCTTCCAGCACAATCTCACCTCGCGCTACACCCCTGGACGTGTGCGACCTGAAGGTTCCAAACAGATAGAAGTGAGGAAACAGCCACTCCGTTCGCAGACCAAGCTATTATTGCGGAGACTCGTCCTTGCCAACGCAACCTACAGATATCGTGGCTGAAGACAAGGATACCTTCCTGAAAGCATTGACAACGACGCATCATCTATCCCCCCCATGGATCATGAGTGACAACGGATAACGAACGCCAAGGTCCCATTCCATTTGCGCAGATGGGACATATCCCAAGATTCTTTTCTTTGAAGAGCAACTTTGAAGTTGTCTCGGCGCTTTGGTGTTCCCGAGTTTGCTCATATTGGATGTCCTCAATCCTTCCCCCCCTCGAAGACCAAGACATGTCATGGACTCGGACAGAGGACCATGCAACTTTCCTTTGCTTACATGTCATGCTTGTATGGTTCTGCCTCTTTGCCTGTTTTGGAGTTAGAGAGCATTTGGTGCGTGTGCATAGAAGGAAAAGAGTTCCGGGATAGAATTGAGAGATATGTACAACAACAACAACAACAACAACAACAACAACAACAACAACAACAACAACAACAACGCCGATAAAATCAACAGCAACAATAATGATACGAGGCGGGCAATGAGAATAGAGGGTTTGATACCGTGATACTACGAAATACTGTCATCCACAACATTTCCATTCCCATTTCCATTTCCATGTACTTTCCACGTACATAGATCGACGAATAGACATGTGTATTTGGCAGGTTGACAGGTTCGGTAGATGAAGGACCGTGCAACACCCAGCGCCAGCTTGACATGCCAAATTCCACCAAGGGCGATGCCGGACAGGAGAACGTCGTTGGTATCATCGCCACCGTTGATGCCACTGTCTCTTTCGCCGTCACGATCCTGGTCGTCGCCGTCAAGGCCATGGTCGAGGTCGTTGTCATCGTGGTCATCATGGTCATCTTCTTTGTGGCAGTCGACACCACGACCTCCGCTATCGCAGTTACGATCGTCATGATGGCCGTGGTGCACAAGATGTACAACTCCAGGGGACGGACGGGTGGACGGGTGGACGGGTAGATAGGTAGATGACAGCGAGATACACTCCAGACAAAACTCGTCTGCAACGATATAGACGGGGCGGCGAACTGCGGACAACAAAAGAGCGAATGAGAGGGGGCCCCGGGGAGGGGAGAGAAACTCTGGTTCGAATGCGATGGCACGTAATCACAACAGAGGATGTGCTGTGGTAGATCATTAATGTACGTGGTCGGCGGCGACGACGACATCGTGAGGAGACCGTCATGGCGATCAGAGTGAGAGACACGGTGGCGGGGGCGGCGACGAGGACTCTAGCAACGCACTGACGAGAAAAGCAATGAAGAAGAAAACATTGTGAATGTTGTTGACATTTATTGCACTATTGTAGTGCCTCGGTGTGCCTCCTTGCGTTGTCATCTTGTCATCTTGTCTCACCCAAGCTCTAAACACGCGAAACCCCCAAGGGGAACTTGCCGTGAGGAACGGCCTCTCACTTCTCCTTGGCCTCGTCCTCCTTCTTGCCAGTGGCCTTGTTGCCACCAAGACCCTGGATCTGCATGGCCTCCAACTCGCCATACCACCCACCCATCCCCCCGATGTCAAACCCGAACCCCTGCTCTCTGGCACGAGCGTTCGCCTCCGTTCCGGCCCTGCTGGCCCTCATCCGAGCGGCCTCGGCAGCACGTTGCTGGCGGACCGCGTTCAACGCGTCGTCGCGCCCGATTGTCAATGCCTCCTGCGTCGCCCTGGTGGCAGTGGCACGCAGAGGTTGCTCTCCGCGTGCCGCCGCCACCGTCTCGGAATGTAGAAGGCGCTGTCTGGCCTGCGCGAAGGCCGTGCGGCGAGCCGCAGCAGAAGGGAAGTTGGTGTTGACAAGATCCTGGAGCTCTTGGTAGAGTCGGTTCTTGGCAAGGCGTTGGGTGGCAGTCTCACGTGGTTTTGCGGCACGTGGCTGTTGAGGAGTGGTGCTGGATCCTGCAGTCGCAGCAGAAGCTTGACGACGACAAGGGCGAACACGAGGAGGTGGTGCAGTGCACTCAGTCCCAGGCGCATCAGTAGCAGTGACAGCCATGGCAGTGGCAGTCGTGGCAGTGGCAGTCGTGGCAGTGGCAGTCGTGGCAGTGGCAGTCGTGGCAGTGGCAGTCGTGGGAGTAGCGGTAGTAGCGGTAGTTGCGGTAGGAAAGTTAGCGCCGTGTCTAGCTAAGCGTTCACGAATTCTTTCATGACGACGAGCTCGGATAGTCTCCAGATCAGGGTAACCAGATCGAGTGCCGGCAGAGGTATGACCAGTGGTGGCAGGACCAGGAATTGGAGGACCAGTAGGAGTAGGACCATCAGCGTCAGTGAACATGTCGGTGTGGATGACGGATGCAGCTGGGAGTCTCGAACGAGCGCGAAGATTCAACGGATCGTCATCTTCGGCAGTGGAGTTGTTCGTGGCAGAACCATGAGCACTAGTAGACCATTTCGAACGACGATTGCGGAGACCATACGGATCTTCATCTGTGCGTGTGTCGTTGATGGAAATATTTCGAGCACCAGCAGTCAAAGTAGCAACATGGTCATCAGGAGTGACAGTAATGTTGCGACCAGTAGGGGCAGTGCGAATTCCAGCAGTCATGGTAGCAAGAAGTTCATCAGGAGTGACAGCAATGTTGCGATCTGTGGCAGCAGTGGCGGCAGGGAGAGTGATGTTATCTTTGTTGACCTGTTTGCCTTTGACATCTTGAGCAGTGGACTCGACTTTGGTGACAGTGGACTCAGCAGCAGCGTCATCCTCTCTGGTATCTTCTTTGTCATCTTCCAAGTCTTTGGCACTTTTGACAGCGACATTCTTCTTGGTGTTATGATCTTTGTCAACTTGTTTCTTCTCAACAGGTTTGGAAGCGACATCCATGTCGGCGGCATTGTCTTTGTCATCTTGTTTCTTCTCAGCCGGTTTGGCAGTGTACTCCATGTTGGTGGCATCTGGTTCAGTAGCTTTCACTTTGCCTTCACCTTTGTTCTTGTTGTTCTTGCGGCCAGTCTTTTTTGGTTTACCCTGGATGAGAAGGTTCTGCTCATCAGCCATGTTGTTCATTCTGACGGCGATGAAGAATTCGAGAGGTCGAGGGTCGATGTCAATGGTCTTTCCGTTTCTGATGGCAGCAGCGATCTCGATGATGCCGATGCAGGTGAAAGGACGGTAGTGTTCGACGTAGGTCTTGAAAGGAATGTCGACAGCTTTGTGGTCTGGGTTACGACGGAGGAAATCCGCACACTGAACCGCCCAGTCAAAAAAGAAGTCGACAATGATGCCAATCACGTCAAATTCGTCGAGGAAGGATGGAGAGTCAATGACGTCCTCAAATTCAACAGGATTGGTGCCTTTGACAGGTCTCTGACTGGTGAAGAGGCCGATGAATTTGTTGGTTTTGATAGCGTGAACAATTTCAATCTTGATGTCCGTGTCAACACGCCACTCTCTCTTGCCAGTCGACTGGTCAACAGTCAAGTAAGCAGTGGTGAAGAAGTGACGAAGGAGATCTCGAGCGGCGTCTTTGCTCCTCTCAAAGGTGTGGAAAACACGCTCTCCGAGTAAGCAGGCCTGCCAAAACGAGACGAGTTTGTGTCAGTAATGAGCAGACTCTGAAATCGCTGTCACTCGCTGTAACATGGGTAGAAACTCACAACTTGTCTGTAGTCGTCGCCCAGATCGATCTGTTGAAAGGTGCCACTCAAGATGGTAGGATTGGGAGCGTTTGAAGTGTTGACAAAAGAATTGAGTGCTCTGGCGACTTGCGTGGGCAAAGAAATTGAAGGCCTCTCAGCGGTGGTCTTGGCCGATTCTTCCGTAGATGATTCCGGAACCTGGTTAAAGAAGTCCTGAGTAATGCGAGCATGGCGCGCAGCCTTCTTTGAGTTGTTCTTCCCCATCGCGCTTCGTGGTTGAACGATTGGCAGCGATCGAACGCGGGTTGAGGGTCTGCGAAGGACAGTAGAAGCGCGACAGTGAACGGTCCGACGAAGACACTTTTGAAAAGCGTTGAGAATTTCGTGGATGCCATAGCTTGGCGCTGGCGACAGTGTGCTCACCCATCTTTTCTGCCACACCCGCAGTGAAGACGAGTGAGCACACTGTTGACCATGCCATACTGTGCTGTAGAGGCGGAGGATATGATGTCGACATTGGTTTTGGTCTGGGGAAGTACTAGCGCCTTGGCAGCCTTGTCCAGCCTTGTCCAGCCTTGTCCAGCCTTGTCCAGCCTTGCCAGCTTGACCACCTCTCACTGCCTCAATGTCCTCTTATCGATCACCAGACCGCAGCCAGACCTACCTTTCCCTCCTCTCGCAGTCCACACCAAGAGCCGCTCAAGAAGTCATGATGTGTCTCAGGAGGGCCTCAACCGAATCGCGAGAACAATAAATGCTTTGAGATTGAGCGGACACTCTTCACCTACCCAAATCTGGTTTGTCCGGGATGGCACCTACCTACCTCCTTTGTGGCGGACGTACTCTTCAGATGAGGATGCCGTTCGTGAAACGCCACCTCCGTCCAGTCTGAGTATCCACAACCTGCGGACCCCTTCTGGTCTCGTCACGGATAGCTTGTTAGGAACGATTTGAGAGAACTCGTGCATTTTTGAGAGCCCATCAACTGCATCATTTCATTGACATCATTACAGGGGTGGTATATCTGGGCTCATCCAAAGCCCTCCACTTGCACCCTTGTTGCTGTCCGCCGTGGTCGTCAGGATCATGGAAACAAAGTCTATCAAACAACCGAAACCCGTTTCTGATCATCAGGCCAGTCCAAAAACGAGAAGCCATAGCAAAAGGGGAAACAACGAGCAAAACTGGGGATATCATCGCAAGATCAAAGGCGCACAAACGAACGTCAAAAACAACCTCAGTCACGGGATCAGCTACCCATGTACATCTGCTGTGCCCCAGGGTTCGAAAAATCCATGCCAGTGCCACTAACGTAGCCGTCAGATATGTCTTCGTCATAATACTCTCCGCCGCTTGATGCATCGAAGCCTGCTCTTCCCATACCGCCGACATCGCTAAGGTCTCCTTGGTCGTCGACAGTCGAAATTTGCGACCAATCTATGTTCTGCAATGCAGGATACTGCTGCAGAAGCGCTGCGGGCAATGCGAACCCACCAGCACCTGTGGTGGGATCCATACCTATCATCATCGGTTGAGGAAGGGGTTGTAGCCCGCCCTGGTGTGCAAAATGTGCCTGCTGCTGTTGCTGCTGCTCCATCATCGCTCTGTTCTGCCTTTCTGCCTTCTCTTCCTCGAGGAGTGGTTTGATGCAAATCCGTCCGGCTTCACTGCGGAAATGTCGACCAAGTGCATCTGCCCTTGCGAACCGTCTCCCACAACCCCAATGCTGACCCGGTGTTGAATGGAGCTCGCCTTTGCAGACGAATTTCTTCTCTCCGCTGTGCAGGCCTTCATGACGTTTTCGATCATGCTGCCGTGCAAATGCTTTGCCACACACTGTACAGACGAAGGGTCGTTCATCGGTATGAGTCCGCAGATGCGATCGTAAATTATACGCTCTTGTGAACCGCTTCGGACATAGATTGCATTGGAACGTAGCGGGATGTTTTTGGACCCTCGTATTTGACCCGGATGGAGACGCGTTTGGTCTGGTGGGATCGGCGAGATCGAGGATATAATCCCTGCTTTGACCCATCGACGAGGTACTGGCTCGGCGATTCTTGTCGATTCGCCCAGATTGCACACCCGGTCCAGGAGATGATTCTCGAGACAGCGATTGGCCTCTTTCAGGGGTGCTAGACCGGACAGAAAGACTGTTGCGGTTGGCGTTGGTCGCGGTCAGCCCTGGCGAACTCGATCTTGACAGAGGGCGTGTGAATGTGACGTCGGATTTGCTTCGGTTGCGGCCCCCTAGATCTCAGATTAGCTTTCTTCACATATCATAATCGGGTATAGAGGAGCATACTGTTGTTGGACGGAGGACTCAAGGCACCTTCCGTAGTCTCGCCTTGCGGTCCAAAGCTTTGCTGTCTCGACACCGGTGCCGGCTCGATGTTGATGGTTGGAGGTTGAAACTGGTCAGCCTGACCAATGTCCGAAACGACCGACGTATTCCGTATATGATTACTCGGAACAACGGGAGGTTGGTATTGAGGTGGTTGTGTAGTATACACGTCGGGTACGGGGATTCCGAGAGGTTGACCCAAACGCAAGCCACTCCCATCCAGTCCAAGACCCTGCTGGTTGCCTTCCATGTTGGGCATCAGCCTCGGAGATCGGTACGGAGCCTGGTCGCCTAAACTGAAGCTTTCCATGCCGAACGCATTACTTGTGTCCGGTTGCGCGGGTAGATACGGCGAGTGATTGATGTCGCCTCCTGTGTTGTGCAATTCTGAATGAGACAGATACGGGGAATGATTTGCGGACGAAATATCGCTATGTTCAGAGGGTGCCCTCCGGTGCTGTTGAAAACTCAAGCCAGAATAGGCACTGGACGGATCGAGGGAAGCGTTTCTTGAATGCTGAGGAGTGTAGTACTGGCCATTTGTCGACGCAGGCGAACCCGGTTGGGACGAGTGATTTTCTGGAGGATGCAAATTCGGGGACTGATGATCCTGCGGCGGAGATAGCTTGCTCAATTCTGCCGGGTTCACATTGGTTTGGGAATTCATGTCGTAGGCTTGGTTCAGTGAATAGGTCTGGTTGTAATCGCCGGATATATCCTCGCTCTGGTACATGAAGTCCCCGCTGTTAAAGGGCTGACCCAGCCCCTGGCCCCCGAACTGATTGTCTGAATAGATGTTCTGATATTGGCCGTTATCATAGAAACTTGGCTCGTTTGGGATGGATTGGAGGCCGCCTTGTTGCTGAGAAGCAAGGAACGGGTTGTTGAAGACGTTGCCAGAGGTATTAAACTTGCCGGTGGTCAGAGCTTGTTGAACAGAAGGGTCTACTCCTGGTACAATGCCGGGGTAGTGGTTCGGGGAAGGCTGAGGGCTTATGTGCTGCGCATTGCCTCTCGAGGGAGATCTCCCTCGAGAATTGTCCATCTTTTTCAACACAACCCACTCAGGCACAATCCACCGATTTAATAGAGGCGCGGAGAAGGGGCCAGATGGAAAGGATTATGAACCGCTTGGGGCTGGCTGTCGAGAACGATGGTTCCTCTAGGAGTATAGACCCGTCGTGGGGCCGGTGTACGGTTCGAGATCGGACTCAATTGGGAGTCAGAATATGGTATGTAAATACACCTTACGAACTAGTCTGTGGCGCAGTAAGTCAGAGAAGATGCCTTTATATGAATGCGTGGTCGGATCAGGCTGGGGGCCATACTCAGCCGCGCAGTGAGGCTATGCCGCAGTTCGGATGATGATGATATAAGTACTTGTAGAGCGCCGTGAACAATTGGAATTCTCCAGACACAGTATTGTCTGGTCAGTGCGACACCGATCAAAGTGCGAAAATGAGCCGATACCCTTCGCGGTGGTTTCGGGATGAGGTCTTTGGTGAGTGTGATATAATAGCGGGCGGCGACGAGCTGGCGAATTGAGCGAGTTGTGGGGATGGCGGCAAGTTCAAGACGTCTACAAATGATGACGACGGCGACAATCGTACAAGCAAAGGCAATACAGTCGATAGGAAGGTGAAAGATGTATAGAGATTGGATAGCGACGAAATATGCAGTATACCGGAGTGGAAAGACGCAGCGGGATGGAGGAGTGTGAGGTATGTAAGTGTGAGATGCAAGATGCGAGATACCGGAATGGGGGGTGGGAAGAGGGAGGGTCTTCTAAAGAAAGGTGGTTAACGAAATACACTTGAAACGAGCGAAGCGCCACGCCGGGAAGCCAGTCTGAGGGCTCCCATTGGGTGTTGGGAGGTCTGCCCTAGGTACCATCGACTAGCCGGGGCCCTCTATTTCTCTAAGTGTGTGCGAAAAGGCAGCCGAAAGATCCCTGCAGAGCTGCAGAAGAGCAAAGCCCAGGGACGGTACCTAGTATCTACAGTACCTGGCAATGCTTGGGGCCCTACGAGGTACACCTACGCATGGAGTATAGGGATCCTGGGGTACCTAATTACCTCCCATCACCACTCTTAGGTACAAGTATCTCTATGATGAAATAAATACCCCTACCTTGCTCCCACTGTCGGCCGCTCGTCGTCAATCACTCCACCTGCCCTCCCATCCACCCATTCATTCGTCCATCCGACCATTCATATTCTGAGCAATCGACCAGTGACTCAAAAGTGAGAGGCGTGGAAGCCCCAAATCAAGCTAAATTAACAAACCTGCCAAATTCCACACAAGGAGATTCTTGCAACATGATAGCATACCCCCCCCAAATCCACATCTTCTGACGAGTAGAAGCCTTTTTTGAGTCCTTGGGTTGCCTTTTGGTGCAGCGAGTCGAGTTTCTACCCGTGATCCACATGCCACCCGCCTCGGGTTAAAATACTAGGAGCCACAATCACCTGGTGTGGCCTTGGGTTGAGCCGCCCCTCCTTCCCCTTGGGCCCTGGGCGGACCAGAATGACCGACAGCACCGAGTGTGGGAGAGTGTGTGTCTGCCTTGCTTTGTTAACATACCAGGTAGGTACAAGTGCTGGTATTGGTTCTGGTACTGGTGATACATATGGGGTAACTTACCTAAGTAGTCGTTACTTATTCAGGTCACTTTGTGTGCCTTGCCCGCTTCCTTCCTGTTTCCTGCTTCCTGCTTCCTGCTTCCTGCTTGATGATGTCGTGAATCCATAATCTAATACTATTGTACCGAATATCTCCGTGTCTCCCACAGATCCATGACTATAAGTATAAGAGTGACGCTAGCCCGCCTGCTTCAGTTCCTGGTGCCTGGCATGGTCATCGACATCAAGACATTGGCGTCATATCCTCCCCCTAGTCTTTTGTATGGGGCCAAGCCAGA